CACAATCAGAAAAAATGCATTTTCCACAACACCTTTCAGTAATGAAGTGTCATTCACTACCAATTGTTCTCACCTGATCAAAGAGATCTGTACCATCAGCTCCTGCTGCTTTCATTAGTTCATCCTCACCACCAGGATGATATTCCATGTATGGTGTGACATTATATACAAATCCTGCAGAAAAAAAAAAAATAAAATAAACATTCACAGCCATTTCTGCAACCACTAAAACCACTCCTATCTCAAAAAACAACTGAAAGGTTAGTGTATGTTACACAGTACAACAGCAAATAGCAGACATGATTGGAACAAACAGTATAACCTTCCAAAAACAAATGAAAGTTATACAGTTGTATAGAGGAAAAGACTTATTACAGCAGAGAGGCCGATCCTACAATGCCAGACCACTTGTACCAGAGAACATCTGGACAAACCCTCAGGGCTGAGACTTCAACAAAATAAACCCTCGAACATATTGTATCCTAGCTAGGGGGTAAAAGAGCTAGCACGTGGTTTAAACAGAGACATAAAGCTGAGCCAGTTAGCACACGAAATTGCCTTCACTCTTCTTTCCAACTAAGTTACTCCTAGTCATAAAGACAAGCACTACTAGTCATGCTATCATAGTTGTTTCTCTACGACCCATCCCCTATGAAATAAAATTCCTAGTGGAATGTACTCTCCTATAAGGAAAAACTGCTACTACCAGGCAACAAAACCTCCATTCTTCAGATACAGTAATATAAAAAACCTAAATATAACCTATGCTTATGAAAGGCTTGCAACTCATATCAAATTTGTCCCAGTAACAGAGCTCAGTATTCCTTCTACAGGAGTACTGTTCATATTTACAGAGAGATAAAAAACCGCTTCTTCACAGGTCTGAAATGAAGTCCAGTAATTGTTGCTACAAAATCAAGAGTAATTAGAGCCTGAAGAATACAGCTATAAACAGAGTTAGCTACAGACACATTGCTGTTAATGGGACCACTGCAGGTCTACCTACTGCAATATCTAAAGATACATGACAGTATCAAAATATGAATAGAATTGTGCCAGTGCATTCATAAAAAACTTTTAACCCATTTAAGAAGTGCAGATGAATGATGTCAGAAACAGAGATAGGCATTCAGCACTGGACAGGAAGAAGAAATACTTGGGACAGTCCTAGCTGAGAAGAACAACCATCCCAGACAACAAAGGAAGGATCTTTGCATATTTTACTGACCTGATCTTGTGAATAATGTATTCACTGTGCCATCTTGTGTGCAGCACTGATTACTGCATGCAATTAAATGTGAGGAAATAAGGAAATATGTAATAAAATGTTAGGACCTCCCAAGTACTAGCCAAATGTCCAATATGCCATAAAACTTGCAAGAGCAAAAGAAATATCATTTATACTTTTAACCTCCCTGACATCCCACTTTTTATCTAAATTTGTGGCCAATGAGAGCTTTCTTTGATGATCATCATACTGTGTATTTGAACAAAGTTCACTCGTGATCTACTTCACCCTCCTCTCATGAATTTCTGCCCTTTCTTATAGAGACATAGTCTAAACACCAATGCAGAAACCTCATTTAGCTGTTCCACAATGGTTTTATTTTACTATCTGTCCACATATCAGGCCTAGAGATAACCTACCAGGATTCTCAGTTATAAAGAAAAGGCAGAGATGGAAAAATTTAAAGACAGATACAAAAGCATAATGATGGGGTTGTTGTAAAATATCTCAGAGGTGCAGTCTAAGAGGAACAAGAGATTAAAAACCAGAACAGAAGCTTTATAAGCAGCAATTTTATCTGCTGTAGTAGCTGTGCCTTTTTGAGAGAGAAAAAGAACAGAACCCCACAATAAATAAGCTCTCTTTAGCTCTCCTCCCACTATAGTTTTGCTAGCACATGCAAGAGCAGCACACAGAGCATTAGAATCCTATTATTTTGTTCAAAAGCCAGCACGGAATGAAATTTTACTCTTACTTTCACGCTCATTCCCTTTAACACCCAACACAGCCATAGTCCCACACACAGGGAAATTCTAAACTTTCTTTAGCTGAAGTTCAGAGATGACATTATATCAAATATCAGTTCCTCACCAGATCAAAGTTACCACTAAACAAACCACTCTTCCTAGAGAAATGCCATATTAGTTACTCTGATATTTTTAATCTAACTTCATTGAAGTGCTGTTATAACACATGTAAGGTGATATTAACGTATTTTAGCCTCCAAGCTGTTAAACTGGAGAAGAAATATTTTCCTGCCATCTGTGAGACAACTAGGAACTTAATTTTCAGCACTGAAAATAATCTTCTAGCCACGGCTATTGCCCCAAACCACCTTTTACACAATGTTTCAATTTTTCAGCTAAATTTTCACAAAAACAACAGCATAAAAGCTTAGTTACCACAGATATTTGTTATACTAGATAGAGATTACAATTGCTCTGTGCGCCAACTGTCATTTGCCTTACTAAGTTCTATGAAGTTACATGTGGGCTTGCACACTTATTTCCCAAAGACCATCCTACAGGTTTAAATAACATTTTTAGTATTGATATGTTTCTGGATGCACTAAAAACAGTCAGCTGCTAAGGATAATAAACTCTCCAAGACTGAGGAGTGTAAATGCGTATCAGCATTTTCAATGTCTTATTCCTGCTAAGGCCTTGTTATCTGAGGCATTACCTACAATCTCGTGGTTTATTATTTTCATACATAGATATAAAAATAGGTGTAAACAGAACCTCTAACTCAAACAAAGTTGTGCTCGATTATGTTGAGATTGCACAACAAGTGCATAGTTTGTTTTGGGGTGTGGCTTTCATTGTTGTTCAGTTTTTGTTGCTTCTTCTTTAAGTGAGGAAGTGAGAAGCTAGGCAAAAAGTGTAACAGCAACATCACAACAACCAACCTCTTATACATATCCAGCAGTCCTCCTTTTTGTTGTGCTTAGCAAGCTCATCTTCAGTCACTTCAATCGGCCTCCCCCTTAAACCAGTCAAGTCCTTTCCACTTTTAGTTAATCTAATCCAATCCATAAGACTCCTTCCTGGTTTTAAAGGGACCTGAAAAATAACAAGTGCACAAACATTACTAGCTGAAGAAAGAGCCATTCAATACACTTTTTTAAGCTCTCAAAAAGGACTTGGGCAAAACATGAAATAACATAAACCTGCACTCCTCACAGATATTTGGGAGCCCTAGTCAGCAGTAGAAGTGCATAAGGAAACTTCCTACATAGTAACTCAGGCAAGGGAATCACTGAATATCGACATTTAGACAAATCTTTGTAAAGCAAACCAAGTCCTTATGACAGTAAAAAGTTTTTAACAGCACCATTTGAGTCATGGCCTGGAAACCTGTGAGCAACAAAGAGAGATCTGAAAATCACGGCCAGGTAGAACAAAACACTCCTAAAGACTTTCTGCAAGCTCTGCAGCAACTGGGAACCTCACGCAGAGAAAGCTGGGGCTGAAGTCTCCCAGCTTACCCAGGATATATTACCCACGGCCTGCCTGGAAGGCAGAGCAAGATCCTGAAGGGTGTCCGGCACCTTTTCAACAGCACTACGGACCGAGGAGCCCTTTGATCCAAACCCTAACAGCGGGGAGTGGAGCTAAAGAACCGCGGCCTTACTAAACCTGAGGTGAGAAGACTGAAGAGCACACAGACCCCCAGCACCCGACACCCGTTCAGCCCAAGCACAGCTCTGCCTCCCACGCGAGGCCTGCAGACACCGAGCGCCCCCGAACCCCCTCCCGACACGCAGACCAACAGGTGCACGCAGCCATTCCGAGCCCAAAGGCCCCGTCACCGCACAGCAGGAACCCCAGACGGCTCGGGAAAGCGGAGCAGGAAGCGTGACCACCACCGCCTTCAGAACAGAGAAGCACGAAGCGTTTCGCAGCGACGCCGGGGCCCTGCCGGACC